ATTTTTTTCTTTTCTTCCTTACTAGGGGACTGTAACTGTTTCTGCTCTCTTTGCCTGTTCTGTAATCTTGGCCTGTTACCCAAATCCTCCTTGTACTGGAAAGTCCTCTACAAACTGACCTTTCATTTTGGTTATTGAGGTTTTCCCAGAATAGGATTGTCAGATCCTGGTATGAATCAGTTGTTGCGGATAAGGAGTTAAGGGAAGTAGGCTGTTAAATATCATAGTCTGTGGTGATAACAACTTTGGTTTCAGTATGAGATCCACAGACTTGGGCACAGACTGGGATTTTCCATAGGAAACATTCCTTGGGATGAAAGACAGCTAAGAGGTATGTGGCTTTTTAATACAATCTTCAGAAGAGAGGCACGTGATTGAAATTGATTTGAATAATTACAGTTTCCACATACGTCTGATCCACAGATCAGTGCCCAGGTTCAATGGGATGGTGGAAAATCACATCAGACTGACCTGGGCTGGCACCAGCACCATTACAGCTCCTGGAGCACGTGTGGAGAAGCATAGTGACTTTGAAAAAGTTTCTTAAATGTTCTGCAGCCTGCATTTTGGCAAAAAATCCCCCAAAAAACAAGACCTGTTCTAATGCCTACCTAGTCAAGGATAGCCTGGGTCTGTTTCTGATAGTCCCAGAAATCAGATCCCTTTAGCTGAACCTGCTAAAACTGAGGCACCAAACTTTGTCAAACACCTAAAAAATATTTAATGTTTTATGTCATCCTGTGACTTGCAAAATGTTGATCTAAACTCTGCTTGGGCATTATAATTCATTTAGGGTTATAACTTACGTAGACATGGAGAATTCCAGGGGTTTGGTGGAGTTATGTCGTTCTTTTTTTCTGATACAACTGTGTGGTGTCAGTTCTTACAGGATATAGAAAGGTAAGAAGCTGCATTCATGGGCTCAGGAGTGGAAAGAGGATTCATTGACAGGTTTTGTTAGCCTTCCTACCCTATTTCTAAAGGGAAATCTTCCTTTTTCTCCATGTAGCCACAGTACAGCCCAGCTATATGATTACAGCAGGCAAGAGATAGACACAGTCCATCTGGGAGAAACCATGCTGAAGTCTATTCCAGGCACCTCCCTGGGATCCATCTCTGCTTGACTAACATCTTTTGTTTGGAGTCAAATGCCACAGTCCCTAAGGAATTTGCCTTGGGAGTCCTTTTTGGTTTATCCTTGTTCGGCAAGGTGTAAGGATCGTGGTTGTCATGCATTTGAGCAATGACTGCAGGTTTCTTTACAGCTGGAGCTTTTTATGATGTCTTGTTATGCAGAAGCTGTAAAATAACCTAAGTTTTCAGAGGAGAAAAGGGCCACTTCCCAAGCATGGTGGAGGTGTCCCTGCTGTTGTGGGGTACTGCTTGCTGCTCTCCTTGCCTTTCTGCTTCCTCCGGGCAAGCACACTAGTGCATGAACAGCTAACAAATGCAGTAAAACGTTTTCTGAAGTGTTTTATGAACAGCTCCTGGGTTTCCAGTGTGGTGGTTTGATGTAGGAGAGAAACTGATGATGAGACATGTCTTTTCCCCAGCAGTTGCATGCTCCACCCTGGCACAGCAGTGTCCTCAGCCCTCGAGCAGGAAGCAGGCAGAGGTACCAGGCTGTTACTGTAAACGGATGTGCTTTTACCACAGCACAAGGACTTAGGAAATTAAGAAAGGACTTAGAGTCCTCAGAGCACAGCTGAACACTGAGACTCTGGGATCTGCAAGCAGTGACACTGGAGAGTTCTTTATAAATCGGATTGGAATCAAGGGCTTGGGGGAACAAAGAAGTCCCTTTGAGTGCCTCTAGAAAGGCTGGTGTTGGTGTGGCTGGCTGTGATAGTGAAAATGCAAGTCACCTCACCAAGTGACAGCAGTGTGGTGCAAGTCATGGCACGGAGGGAGCGACAAAATAAGGGCACGTGGCCTCGAGGCATCATCACAGTATCAATTCCTCCTTATCCATAGAGGGTGGCAGAGTCCTAAAAATGTCTTCAATAGCTTTGAGACTGGAAGAGTAACAGTAATAGGATGATGAGCAAATAAGAATTAGCAAGTCTGATAAGTACTTTAAAAATGGAAGAGGGAAAGTTTCTGGAAACAAACCAAAGAGGCAGAAAACTTGTTATTGTGGCTTTTGCCTGCTCTTGGGATGAACACAGACCACCAGCATTGTCACTGGCTAAATGCTTTTTCACTGGTAGCTGACTGACAAACTCATGAAGTCAGTTGGGTAAAACATGCTGGTGCCCAGCCTGGGGGTGCACAGCCTGGGCCATAAGAGGAAATAGGGTTCTTGTGCAGGCTGGAAATCAGCTGGTTTTGCAAGACACAGGGTTGATCTCTGTGACTGAGCCAGCAGTGAACAGCCCATACAGAGCAAACAGCAGCTTGTGAGGTGTGCAGTGAGGGACAGAGGATGGGAGAGCATTGGGGTGTTCGGGCAGGTTCTGCTCTGTGACAGCAGGAGAAGCTCTGCAGAGCTTGGGCTGAGCACAGCCACTGTGTACTGCTTAAGCTGATCAAAGAAGAGAGCAAGTTGAAGAGGAAGGATGTGATGAGGTGTGTTACCGACCCAACTGAGGCCTAACTGCTTTCCATCCTGTGGGTCGGTATGAGTCAAACAGCTTGGGTGGAAACAGGAGCTTCACGGCGAGTCCTCAGTAACAGCCCCTGCTCAGAGGGGTCAGTGTATGAGCTGTGCATGAACTAATGCAGTGAGACAGCTTTGCTTTGTCTCAGAGGCAGGTAGAATTCACTCATCTCTGTTCAAATTGTACAGTGCCTTCATCAGGATAGGGAAGGACAGCTAGGGTATCATTTTAAGTTACATAGAGAGAGATGGAAAGAGTTATGTTCCTTCTACTGTAGAAGAGAGGATGTGGGTTGACCTGGTGCAACAGCTCTCCCTGCACTGGGGTGAATATTTGCTTCACCAACAGAATTTACACACACACTGGCAACCTGCAGTAGGACAGTGCTCAAGGGAGAGGGAGAAGGGACACAGGGCCAGGTGGAGAGCAAACCTACAGTCAGAGAAGGCAAACAGGGTTTGGGAACAACTGGATAAAAATCCAGGAAAACAAACAGAAGTACTCAAGTGCCTGTCTGGAAACTTCATATAGAAATGCGAGGCAGGTCACATCTGGAGAGAAGTCTACTCCATTATTTTAAAATAGACCAGAATGGATGTATTAGAAATACGCTAAATATTTTCAGAGTAAATTCTTCCCTTGCCTGTATTCCTCAGTGGGTCTCTTCTTCTTGATATTCTGTTTCCTCATTTCTCTTATTTTGTCCTCGAAGGAAATGCTCCTTGTGTATGGACACAGCTGGCTTTAGTAGGGCTATGAGGAGCCAGAGTTTGCTTTTGAGTTCTTCCCTCATACAGGAAAGGAAAACTGGCTCCTCAGAGACATTGTGGATGATATTGGCAGTAGTAACTTGTTTCTGGCCATGGTACATGGTTTTAATTATGCTTTTTTACTTGTCCGTTTTATGAAAGTTTATCCAAGTGCTCTATTTTTTTATTTTTAGAAATGCCACCATAGGTAAATCAACATCTGCAATTGTGAATACAAAGAGTGTACTCAAAAATCCAACATGTTTTGGTGCCTTTTGGCTATGTATCATGATGCCTGTTGCCCAGTGAGTCTTTACTCTAGCGAACACAGGGGAGCCTTTTCCCTTCTGTTTGTTTGTTTGATCTGGCTTATTTAACTGCTGGTCATTCAGCCTTACTTAGTTTTGCCCTCCCTGGCTTTTTGTGACCATTAGAATGGGAATAATTACTGTGAGGTTTTTTCTTGCTTTTAAACATTTATAACATCCACTTAGGGGAAAAAATGGTCAAATGCGTCCTGTTCTAGTCTTCTCTTCCGCTACTGCAATAAAAATTAATCCACTTCTAGCACTTGGAGGGCAGGAGGCAAAGCTGCAATATTGGTTTGGGATTAACCATTCCTATCAGTCAGCCCATCTGTGTTAAGACCTTTGCTTGTTGTCCAGTGAGGTTTCACTTTCAGGGCATTTTTCTTTTGGGATTTGTTATGGGGCATAAGCAGGAGGAGAAGAGAGACACAGGACAGGCTTGAAGGGTGTGATTTTATGATGCTTTTTGTTGCTGTCACTGATGCAGCAGTATGGGTGTTGATACTTCTAGTTGGTCAAGACTTTACACCCAGCTTTTTACCTGTGTGTACAGCCTCCTCTCTTGGCCTGGACTGCAGCAGGGATGGAAATCTAACACAGAATTGCTGCCCCTTTTCCACATTGCTAAATTGGCAAAGATCAGGGACAGTGCAGATCTTTGAAGAGCCATTTCTTCTGCCTTTCACAAGAACACGGAGGGAGGGTGTTAAGTCTTAGAGGGCTGCTGATTTCCTGTAGGAGGAGATAGCACCAAGTTTAGCAAAGTTGAAACCCTCATTTTATTCAGTATATCAGGACATTTTGCAAAGCCATTGCAGAAAGCTTGTTTTACTCTACTGTAGGGCTTACACTGCAGGAAGACTTCACTTCCCAAGTAGAGACAAGCTCTGTACTTCCAAAAATCCTTGGCCCTGCATTTTTGCAGTCAGAGCATCATACTTTGGCTAAAGTCTGAAACAGTCCTCTGGAAGGGTCAGGCTGCCACATGGAACCCTTTGATAGGACAAGGATTTCCACACATCCCTGTGTCCTGCACTTGTATGGATGTCCACACAGGCAGGAGTGCAAGGCCATTCAGCATCCATAACTCCAGGGAAGGCTGAGGGAAAGTGCAAGTGCTCCAGGTACCTGAAAACCAAGGCCATGGTGTGCTGATAATTTTGTCTGCTTTATTTCACTTGTATCCTTTGTTAACAAAGAGCAGTCTAGAGGGAAATAGTCTATTATTAATATTTAATTTCCTCCTATTACTGTAAGCAGATGACCTAAAAGATCATTTAGCCAGCAACCAATAATAAAGCAAATAGGGGAATCAGAAAATATATGTCCTGGTTAGATGGGTGATGCCTCCTTCCTCCTCTTCCTGCCCCACCCATGCACAACTCTTGGTTCCTCGAGGGGTGAGGATGCTCTCTGACAGCTCCAAGAACTCTGGCTGGGTGTGAGCAGTCAGGGGTGTGGAGAAGTAGCTCTATGTGAACTTTTCATGAAATATTGAACTTCAGAAAGGAAACCCTTGAGCAGCACAGAGAAGTGCTCCTGTGGCCTTCCCTATCATTCTCCCTAAAGGACAGCTGTTTTCATTATGTTTTACAGCCCCAGTTGTTTTGCAAATTTGTGTACCTCCTGTGAGAACATTTATTCTGACATGATCCTCTTAAGTAATGGGGAGAGACAAGATTTCTTGGAGTCTTTGATTTAAAAGATAGGGAGATTCTCTTTGAGCTGAAGGGATTTCAAAGAGAGGATAAAAACTGACAAGCATCTCCCCCTCCAGGCTTTGGAAAGCAGGAAACAAATGGTTTAGCAGCACCACTTTTTCTACTTACAGCCATGTGTGAATTCAAGGGTTTTCCCTACGGGAATTAGGTAATCTGTATGTGGCTGGTACCTGGGAAGGGTCATGTTGTCAAAAGGAGATGCTAGATTGTGATCTGTGGAATGAGCCTTGATTGAGACACTCCCACTGCCTCATGAGCTGCCTGCTGCCTCCTTACCCCATCCTAGAGCAGACAAGGTGAATCCAATCCCCTCTGGAGCCCAGGGAAGCTGCAGCCTATCACCTGTGTGCCCGCAGAGTGTCTTGTGTGCCCTAAGGGCTGCTGATCCTCTGGAGATTTTGCTAATATGTGAGAGTAGCTGTCAAACTGAAGTGTCATAGACATTGTCATATATGTCAGCCTGGCATGTGGTGCAGTGTGTCTGCTCTAAACCAGTGTGACAGACCGTGGGTGTCCAAAACCATAATGAACTCAGCCCAAAGGGGCCAAGAGCAGGAGATGAGCTGGTTTGAGGTGGGTGGTTTGAACCAAGCTGTGGCCAAGGGCTCAGCTCAATGCATTTGGCACTCAGGGGAGAGAAGGGGCAGCACCTTAGTCCAAAGCCAACTGGAGATGCCAAACAAAAGCTTGCTTAGGCTGTGCTGGTGAATTGCTTCATGGGAACGTGCTGTTCAGATGCTTCATTGAATTTTCAAGGAGCAGTTTTACATTGGGACTGAAATATGAGAGAGAACAGAGTGTTCCAAGTCACTAAAAATGAACAGAGCACCAGCTTTACAGGTTTGTGAATGACAAAAAAGGTTTATTTAATAATGGGGAAAAGGCCGGAACACAGCCTGGGGTATCAAGAAGAAATTAACAAAATAAAACATGAGCTTACAAAGAAATACTAATTGTAGCTGTCCAGGCTGTTGTGTGATACAGTGTATTTTTCTTGAGTTTCAAGAAGCTTGCTGTGTTGATCCCTCAAGGGTCTGGGATGTTAAATATATACTTCCCCAGCGAGTAAAGCAGATTGTTAATTAATTGTGTCTTGTTAGACCTGGTTGCTGAGCCTTTGGGTCTTGCACGAAGTAGACAATTCTACAAAAACTTTTGTATTGCCTCTGGACATGTTTCTTCTTCTCTAGGTGGCCTGTATTTCATCTTGTCCCCGTGCAGCAGATTTCTAGCTGTATGAGCAGAAAGACTGAGCCTGGTCTTGTTTTAAAGCAAGTTGCCAGTACTTCTAAAATTGAGATTTGTTACCATGTCAGGTGAACATTGTAGCAGCTGACTCTGGCAGAGAGGAATGAGGCGAGGTGGGAGAGTTCAGGTTGAACATGAAACCTCCCAGGTTGTGGCATGTTCTGTCAGCAGCAGGTGAGGCTGTTGGTGTGCTGGGGCTGTGTGGCCAACAATTGGTTTTTCTGATGTCAGTGGCTACTCAGAAGCAGCAGCGCTGAAGCAGACACAAAATGTTGTTTTGTCATGGCTGGGACACCTGCTCAGCTCCAGTCATTTCTCTCCTGAGATGTGCTGGCTCTGCAGAACTCTAAGTGTTTTCCGGCCCATCTGAGAGCAGAGGGTGGAAGGACATGTTGTCCTCTTCTGGACATAACATTCCAGTTGCTTTGGAATAAATGACTAGTGCTTGGGTTGAAGAATCAAGCCACTGTTTGTGAAGGGGGATGGGAAGCAAGGGACTAAACAAATTCAGAGATAAAAAATTCAAATTTAACCTCAGACCATGAAACAGTCAAAGTAGAAGGTTAAAAGCTCTGTTGTGTCAGAAAACAGTGTGTGATATGGTCATTGAACTTCAGATTCCAGCACTGTGCTTTTTCAGGATGCATGCAGAGCTGTGGGCAATTCCAGCTTTGTATTTGTGATGAGCAGTTAGTATGTGCAGGACCTCCACAGTGTAGGTCTGTAACTTCCCTCTGCATCCTGTTGGAAAATGTGTTTGAGATGAGCCATTGAAAGAGTCAGGTTAAACAAAATGCACCTGGGATTGATATGGATTCATAATCCTACTAAAGGAAGCTCTCAAATGGGGAGGAATATCCCAGTAATTTTGCTCTGACCCTCTTCACCGAGGTGTATGTACTGAGAATGTGAGGGGAAGACCAGCATAGCAGGACTTTAGGTAAATGCTCTCAGCACCAGGATTAACATGACCAATTCTCAGGCTGGCTCCTTTCAAAGAGCCATTCCTGCAGTTCTTCTGAGTCCATCGTAGAGGAGCTTGTGGGAAGGGGGATTATAGTGGGCTTATTTTCCACAGCAGTAGTTTTGGCCCAAGTATGTGACAGTAATTTGTTACATTTTTCTAAACTTGTCCTGACAGTGGATTTTGCTCGTGAGCTTGACCTGCATGGGAACATGTGGGTGCGTTAGGAAGCAGAGAGGTGTCTGTTCCCTGCTCCAGGGCTGGAGTGCTACCCTGTCACCATCCCTGCTGCTGTGATACCAAGGGATGTGGGAGCTTGCACCCACTTCAGAGCCTTCAGGCACAGCTCTGTGTCCTACCTGTGACAGGCACACACACCTTCCCCTGAGGGGCCTGTTTTGCCCACTGCTTCCCTTGTTTAGTTGTTTTTTATTCCCACCAACTCTTTTCCTGTTGTTTTTCCCCTGTTCTTGCACACACATGCGCACAAAGCATTGTGTATTTCTCATCCTGCCTTTTCTGTCTGCTCTCCCTCCAGATTTTCTTTATTTCTATCATCTGTTAATTCTAATTCCCTTCCCTGCAGGTTGTGCTGGTGGGAGGAGGTTTCAATATCACTGCTTTGAAACAAACCTGTTGGGATTTGTAATGGACAATCATCACTCAGGGAGTGATGTAGGAGCATATCACTGACATCCCTGAAATTCAAGAAAGTAGAAGAAACCTTCAGGAGTCAGTAGAAAGCTGCAGCTTTTGCGGTAGGGAGATAGATAATATAGAGACTTCTTGGTGGTGTTTTTCTTTAGAAAGAGATTAAATGGTTGATCTTTATCTTCCTCTTAATAGCTAGATCACACACTAATCTCTTCTGTTGATTTCTTCCACACAAACCAAACAAAACACAGATTGCTGAAGGTGGAGAAAAGCAAGGTTTTTGAAGCACGTCCAAACCACCAAGAATCATTCACTTTCCTTTCAAATGCAGCATTAGCAATAGAGCTCTAAATCAATGAAAGGTCTAAAATTAGATTATATTCCTGAGATCAGATGTGAATCACAAGTTAATCATATTTTCTTTTATTATCACTGTCTTTACCCTTTTATTTTATCCTGAGAAATTAGGTTTCTGACTTGAAAACAGAGTGAACTGTGAAGGCATCGAACCCTGCTGGGTGATGCCAGATCACCTGTGGATGGGTCCCAAAAATCTCATGTTTTGGAGATTTGTATTGCATCCAAAACTGAGCTTGTGTGATTTATCACTTAGTACTGTGTTTCTCTCTCTCCCAGCCCTCTGATTTTTCAAGTAGCTGCTTCTTAAATTAATGAGAAAATATTACTGCTAAAGCTTGCTAAATAGGGTTTGCAACCCACTCTGGAAGTGACAGGCGAGGACAGCAAGCAATTATCTCTTGACTGTGGCACAAAGCTCAGGGAACAGTATTCTCCATTGCTGTATTTTTAGCTGAAACTGTGGTGAAATACACCCATATCTGAAGAGGTACGAGGTGACCTGCAAGATCAGCATGAGGTATGTGAGCATGTAGGCGATGTGTGTCTGTTCATATGAAACGCAGCTGCAGGACTGTGTTTCCTTGCAAGCAGCACCAACTTTAGTCCCAGATTGGTGCATGATACTGCAGGAACCCAAATGTATACCTGAGAGATTGTGCCTTGTGTGTGTTTCTGGGAGAGGTGAATTTTGGTGGATGTGTTTCTGTCTGGTTGTAGGTGGATGTGTGGATGCAACAAGCACTGTGGACAATGCAGGCATAATGAATAAAAAAAGGTTTTCTTAGAGGATACAGATACACATGAACAAAAATGATGGTGTTGCAGGAGGGGAGCCTGCAGAGACCTTTGCAAAGAGTGTGCATGCTCAGGGGAAAGTCCTCAAAGATGTCTCTGACTGACACACCTTGAACTATTCTCCTTGCTGTGGATCATGTTGCAGTGTCTGTGCACACGAAGGCAAGATGGGGTATGGCCACAGAAGGGTGACCACACATGCCAGCAGCATAATGTGTGAATAATGAACCCCCACTGTGACTGGGGGTTCGTGTCATCACAGAGCAGTGTCTGGCTGCAGCACACTTCTGCAGCAAAGCACAGGAGGGTGGGCAGCATGTGGTGGCTCAAGTCGGGTGTTTGCAATCAGAAGGAGACAGGTGTATGTAAAAAGGCTCCTCCACCTTTCTTCTGTGCAGCCACAACACTTGCCAAAGCATAATTAGTGGGGCTCTCGTGTTTCAGGGCAGGCTATCGAGCAGCTGCTGAAGTGCCAGCTCAGTTGGTAGCCTTGAAAACAAAACATCTCTTGTTTCTCATCACCACTGTGGAATACTGCCTTCCTGAACTTGGGCTTGGCCCTGCAGCTTTCAGGATTGACAAAATGTGAGAATTTTTGCTAATAATGTATTATTCTAGGTCTGTTTAATATCCGTTATCAATTTAATGTGCCACTTTAATGAGATTTTGCTTTTTCCATCTCCTCCATAGAGCTGATTACTTAGTGTATGTGGTTGGTGTTTCTGTTTTTTTTTTTAAAGGAAACTACAAGTGAAGAAGTTCAATGTTTGCCTCAGCTGAAGAGAATATTTCCCAAGTCCTAGTGGGAAAAGGTGAAAAAGAGAACCCGAGGATGCTGCTAGTAGGTATGTACATGACAGGAAGCCATGACTAGCAGTGTGATTGTCAACAGGAAACAAAATGTCCTAGCTGATGTGACGCTGCTATACAGCACACTTGCTGTGTCGTGCTGCCTGCTGGACTCTGTGGCCTGGGGAGCAGTGTCTGTCCACGAGAGAGATTATCCTGTCTGTTTGTCTGCTGGAGTTTGAATTATTCTGCATCTGGTTAATCCACTTTGCTGGAACTGGCAGGCCCTGGGCTTTTTTTCTGGACACCTGCTACTGTGAAGACCTTGAACAGCTATGGGGAGAAGTGTGTGTGTGTGAGCAACCTTCCCTGGCTGGCAGCCGAGTGCTCCACAGACCCCAGGCAGCTTTGAGGTGTCTTGGCCGTTCAGTGCTCTGCAGATATGAACGCTGAGCTTTTCCGGCACGTTCTCACATCAGCCTGGTTGTTCTCACCATGCTAGTACATGGGAAAGACGACTTCCTCTCAGACATAGCTTACATCATCCTGGAACTGATCATCGCAGTGCTGGCCATCCTGGGGAACATCCTGGTCTGCTGGGCCGTCTACTTGAATAGCAACTTGCAGAACGTCACCAACTATTTCGTGGTGTCCCTGGCTGCTGCTGACATTGCCGTGGGTGTGCTGGCAATCCCCTTTGCCATCACCATCAGTACTGGCTTCTGTGCCTTCTTCTATGGCTGCCTTTTCATTGCCTGCTTCGTCCTGGTCTTGACTCAGAGTTCCATCTTCAGCCTCCTTGCAATCGCCATTGACAGAATCATTGCGATCCGCATACCCCTCAGGTAAGCAGGGCTGGGCTGGGAGGGCAGGTGAGGGTTAGAGTGGTGAGGGCAGAACGTCAGTGTAAACAACAGGCCTGGAGATGAATCAAGGAAGGAAAGGTCAAATGAGGATCACCACTGTTCCCCCTTGTATTTTGAAAAAAACTTTTCTAGGTCTTGAAGGCTGCCTTGGCTGCTGGGTCTTCTCGTCACTTCGCTTTCCAGTTCTTCTCTGTCCTCATATGGTGTATGTCCATGGCATTGCAGCGGTGCTGCCTGGGAGCTGCCATTCCATACTTAGCCAGGATCCTGCAGTAGTCTTAATAAGCTGTGCCCTGAGCTGCAGCCAGCAGCACCAGCAGGATTCCTGTGAGAAGGTGGAGCCAAAGCAATAAATGGTGGAGGGCAGAATGGGGATGAGGGCAGCTTGTCTCCTTCCCTGTGGGGAGAATAGGGGCTCTGCCTGCAGCTGTAACAGCAGGGTTGGGGGAGCATGGGTGGGGTTTTCTCTCAGGAGTCCACTAAATGTGAAGGGAGAAGAAGCAGCAGGCTATCAAGAGATGGGCCTTAGGAAGATCTGAACTAGCTTAGGCACTGCCTCTGGAAGCAAAGCATGTTCTAGATCAAGGCAGAGGCTTGTCTCTTCCCAGACCTGCAGATGGTTATTCTGTGGTCTCTGGAATTTAAAGGAAGAAAAGGATGTTTTAATAGTAGAGTGTGAAAGCTGACTATGACTGACTGCTACTTGATGTGCAACCAGGGAGGCTGATGTGGGACGAGAGGACGTTTTGCCACACACACAGAGGAGCTGCTACTGAGTTCAGTTCTCCAGCAGCAATGTTGTTGTGATGGGCTGTGTCTGGCCGTGGGCGCGAAGCAGCATTGCCTTTCGTGGGCTGGGTTTGAATGCTCTGTGACAACGCTTCCGACTCATTCACTGAGCTCAAGACATGTAGAGGAAGCCCCTGGAGAGGCTGGTGCAGGAGAAGTGTAGGAGTCTCCTTCCTTCCCGTCTTGTCTTTAGGAGGATGCAGCACGCTCTCAGTGACGGAGAGACTGCCTCCCTCTCCTGAAAAACAAATGTGGCTGCAAAAACGCAACAAATTTCTGATTTTTGTTCTCTCGAGTTTGAGTTTTTAGGTATCCTCACTCCTCGTGAGCTTAAATCACTTGTGTTGATCTGTGCAATTTAGTTTTGTCTCTTCTGAACACTTTGGTCATGCAGCACTTATGTCAATTAACACAAACCTCCCATTCAGAAGCAGAATGAGAGCCCTAGAGCTGCGGAGATTGCCTTTCCATGTGGACCTGTGCAGCAAATCTTTCCTGAAGCCTTGTCTCAGCAAGTTTGGACTGCTGTAATATTACCATTATTCAGTGGTTTCCAAACCCTATTAGTCATACCTGTTACAGCCTCTAGTTCTGATGTAGTTCTAAGGAATAACTATTCCATTCCACTGTGGAGAAAACTATCGATACACCTACAAATTGGATTGTCTCCACTTTTCTGCAGTTCTATTATAGATGGTTTCTGTTTATAAACCAAAATAATGGCAAATGGTACAAGGAGACATGTAGAGTAGCCCTCAGGAGCTGCCTCTGGAGTGATTTTGAGGAGGGCTAATGTCTTGAATTCATTTCTCATGAGCTAACTCTGAGGACTTTTGCTGACAGTTTAAGCCCTCTTACTGCTAGACGATGACTTGCCAGGAAAAGGATTTTAAAAATCTGGATTGCTGCCCATTTTTGAGGCTATCACTGTAACTATATTGTCTTGAAAATGTAATTTCCTGGAACTGCCAAGGTAAAGAATCTTTTAGAAAACCCAGACTTATCAGTGCTGGGCACGATACTGGTTTCACTATCTTGTTTTTGAGAAAACAGAGTACCCCCTCTTCTGCCCCAGGAACAGAGGGGGTGATTGGATGCAGAAACCCACAGTTAAATCCATGGGTTCCTCCTGCTCTATGTCCTCTGCTGTCTTGACCTTTCACAGTAGGAGTGATGAATTTGTCAATTGTGTTTTCCCTTAGGAATTTATGGGTGAATAAGCATCAGATTTTTAGCCTCAGACATGCTGAGAAAGTGAAAGCTGATTATCTGAAGAGGGAAATGTGAGATGATTCAGACTGCTCACATCCTCAGTTGTTTCTTTTTCTAATATCTGTTTGTCTCAAAAATGTGTCAAGCGATTTGGAGGAAAGTTCTGCCACTAAAGGTGTGTTGTTTTTACCCCATCCTTTAATACCTGGGAAAGCTCCTTCTCCTCCTCAGAGGACGTGAAAGATAACACCAGCTGTTCCTAATATTCATTAGATGAAAGCTCTTTAATAAAACAGACTTCCTTCACTCTAGCGGAACCAAAAAGGGCCAAACCTATTTTTTCTTCTTCTGTTTCTTTTAAGCTATTTCATGTCTGATTTGCCCTAATGAAGGTAACTGCATATGTGGGTGTGTATTCCCACACAAATAAACTGTCAGTATCAGGAGGCAGAAGAGTGGGATTGCTGATATGTCTTGGGTTTGGATCCCTCAGTACATAATTAGAGTTACCTTTGAAATCATTTTTCTGTGGAGAAACAACTCCTCCAAAAAACTGCAGTGAGAAAAGACATAGGTGAAATTTAAAAATAGATAAAATCTAATATGCAAATGTCTTATGAGTTCTGCCTTTCAAACAACCTAAACATTGTGTAGAATTTGGTAAAGTTTCCCAAAGTTCTCAAGCACTTTGCTCAATTCTGCCAGGTTTGATACAAATGTAACACTCTACAAATGGCAGTGAAGCACTCCCAGGAAAGAGAGTCTGAGCCAGTGTTCCCTCTAGGATAAAATCCGAACTGTGTCTCTCACATAGCAAATACCTGAAAGCCTGCACAGGCTGATAGCAAACCACTGAGTGCTCTAAACAAAACTGGCTGCAAGTCTGAGCCTCAGGTTAAAGTCATGGGCCAAGAACAATTGCCACTTTCCAGGCTCTGTGGTGCCAGCAAACACTGCGGGCACTGTGCCCAGCCATGTGCTCCTGTGCAGGCATTTGTGGTAAAGACAGTCCGTGGGGGAAGGACAGGTAGCTCTGATGCACTGGAAAGAGAGGGGAAACTTTCCTTCCTGCAGCCCAATGGAAAAGTTTTCTCAGGTTACTGAGGTTACTGCTTGCTCTGTGTGCTGGATTCAGACATAAAACACTTACTCAGGTCATACAGTGCCAACTGCAGTAACGTGCTGGAGCACAGGCCTTTTCCTCTGATGAAAGATGCTTATGCTACTGGGATGCTACGCTAGGGAAACCTTACTAATGTGCAGCTCCCTGATGTTTGGAACATTGGGACTGATTTACCCCATGTGGTGGTGATTTAAACTGCAGCTCTGAGGTGGCGTGGGGAAGTTTTTCTGCCACAGGACATGAAGAACTGGCTTCTCAAAGTCTCACCATCCCTGAACAAGGTATAGGATGTAGAAGGCACCTTTGTGCTGAGAACAGTCTGTTTCAGCAGTTGCTTTGATTCTCTCAGATTGCCTTCTGAAATACTCATATGTGAGCATCTGAATCAGTGAATCAGGGATTTATTGTTTTATTGTCACTGACCCATATGTGCACTTATTTCTTTCCCTCATCACCATAAACCTTTTGACTTTATGGCAAGCATTTCCTACATGTGCTCATGTTCATGTTGAATAGCTTATGGGCAGATTCAGCCTAACATGAGAGAGGAGTAATTCCCCTTCTCCTTTGAACATGGGCATGGCTTTGGAAGCCGTGCCAGCTGTCTGCTCATGGGCCGCAGCAGAACTTGCTGTTACCAAGGTTTTAGTCTGGAAGCTGATCATGCCACAAGCAGAAGAACTGTCTGCCCTCTGTTGCTGCTTCTGCTGTTTAGAGCAGAAGAAATAATGGTGGGGCACCTGTGCCCACCTGTGGGCTCCTACCCCAACCTGTCTCCACAACACAGAGGAGCACTAGTTTCAGTTAGCACGTGTTAATAGGGGAGAAATGTTCTTGGCTGAGAGTTGTGGGAAAGGGTTGTTCAGGTGGTGCATGAGAAGATGCCTGTTTTCTTGTCACAGATTTCCTGGATGATCTGAGGCTACCAGTGTCTCTCATTTCCCAGATACATGTAATAGGGCCAGAATATCCTCCGTGATCCCGTCCCTGGTGGCTGCAGCTGACTGAGGTGTGGGCTGTTGAGTGAGTGGGCAGTGAGCAGTGTTTTGTAGTGATTTGGTAAACACCATTGAGAACTGCTGGAATTCAGATCAAAGCCCTCAATGCTAAGCAGAAGCTTTCTGAGGTGATGCAGTGTCTGAAATGTGCTCCACACTTGGCTGAGCCATCTGGCCAGGATGTGCAGTGCTGCTCACCAGAGGAGGGTTTGGAAGGCAAGCAGCAGGCTGGTTGGACACTGTGACAGTGAGTTAGGCCAGCCACCTATCATACAATGTATGGAAAGATTTTAACTTCAACCTGATGACCCCGTGGTTCTTTTACCAGCTCTGTCTTCCACCCAATTTCATAGACTCTGTGCAGGAATCATTGTCTTGATGAGACAGAGATTAGGCCAAGGACCCAGAAGCACCACATGTGCAGCCAGGTTGATCTATGCAGCCCAGCTGAGTTGTATGTGCACCAAGGACAGCTGTTCTGCAGTCATTTTACCAGCAAGGTGGCTGGGAGAGCAGCAGGGCAGGGGAAATTATTTTGGGGAAAATTTTCATGTGTTTGCAAAAAAAGCGTTTTTTTCCTAGAGAATGTGGGTGACTCTATCCCCCACCCAACTCCACCACGAGTGTCCCTGTGCTCTGCACTCATGTTCTTTGTGTCTGGAATTTCACGAGTAGAAGCTGTTGTTTGTGTAGCAAGCCCAGTATTTCCAGGAAGCAGGAGTACTGCTTGTGCACAGACAATCCAGTGCTGTCTGGACACATCAGACGTGCTGCAAAGTTACCCACGGACTGTGCAGAACATGGGCTGCAGGTGTGACCAGCTCCTTTCAGCAGGCTGTGTCTCCTGCATAGGTGCCAGCAACTCACAGTATAGGGAATGCTTCCTGGAAGCCCTGAACTTACCCTGTAGAGCTGCACAGCATTTGGGGATACAGAGAGTGGCTTTGGCCTGGCTGTTGTGAGCCTAGAAATATGCTGAGACAAAGTACACAAAGATGTACACAAAGTCTTCAGTGCTGGCCTGGTGACATCTCTAAGTGGCTAAAATGAAAGAGTCCAGGCAAGTCCATCTGGACAATAACCCTACCTCAGCCAAGTCAGCCAGAGGTGTCTCATGTGGATCCTAGAAATTAAGCTCTCCTAAAAAAATTGACACTTCTCAGTGGATACCTGGCCAACACAGGCCCACAGAATATATCATGAGGTGCTGTGAGCTTTCTGTCTTAACCCTTGGAGATACTGGGTAAGATGTTATAGACATGTACTCCAGCACAATACACTGTGGCTGAAGAGCTGCTTGGATTAAGTGCTGTTCCAAAGCCTTGTAAAGTTTCTTGCATGGGAATCCCCAGAGAGTAAGAGGGAGGGAGAAGCAAGGAGGGTGTTTGTCTGGAGCAGTAATGAATATATTTTTAGTGGAAGGGAAGGGACATCTCTAGTCGTGGGATAACAGCTGCACAGTTTCAAAATTCCTCTGACAAGATGTATCCAATTCCAGGGCTGCAGGGTTTTCATTTTTTGTTTTGTTTCATTTTTTGTTTTTCCAAGCTTCAAGTGCCTTCAGCAATTCTTTTGCTCTCTGAGTGTAGACTTCAAAGCACAGATGCCATTTTGCTGTGTTGATGAGGCCTGAATGTGAGCAGTTCCCTGCTACCATCCAAGCATCCCCATTGAGCAGGATCCACTACTTGCTGGAAAAAAAAACTTTTCATCAGTCCAAATCAGCTGAATCTCTCCCCCATTTCTGGAAAGAGGATTTTGGTGTATTTGGGGTACTGGGAATGTGTGCCTGGCTCCCTCACCCACTCCCTCTTTTCTGATTTTGAAATGCAACAGAGGAAGGGAGACTCAAGCCTACTGGGTCTCATGTGGAGCCAGATTTTTCCAAGGCCCATCAGAAGGCACTTAAAGCATGTGTTGGATCTTCATTCTGCACTGTGCCTGGCAAAAGCAGCCTCTCTCCTTCACTGGCTTGAACTTGCGTTGGAATAGGAGCATGAACCTGTGGCTGTAACTATTTCATTGGGAGATGGAAAGACTTCTGTGGCTTGTTGTATTATTTCTCTTAATGTTTGTTTTCTGAGAGAATTCTGGGGACAGAGGGAGAAGGAGCACTGGGTAAACACTGGGAGCCCAGCGCTACCGTTGTCCGATTGCAGACACACGGGGTCAAGTACAGTGTGGGACCCACGCTGGACAATGTGGGAATCTGGCCATCTACTTTCCATGCTGAGCATTACCAAGGGAAGGAAATTGCATTGAAATGTTAAACTGCTGCCCTGATCAACATTTTCAGAGTGAAGAACTGGTGGAGTCAGCTCAGGACTCACAGTAACCTGCGAGGCCTTGGGAACTGGCTGATATTTCAAACAAACAGACATTTCTGCTGCACTGTCAGATTCTTACCATGTTGCTTATTGTTTTTTCAACAGATCTTGGAGAATTTACTGTTAAGAGCACTGGCTTCAGCCAGGCATATCAATACCTCCACCACTGAGGATCCTTTGGTGTGTGCAGTGAAGCCCACAGCACACCTATAGGTCAGGGCACTGTCCTCAGCTTAATTCCTCCTTTCTGAGAAAGACATGGGGTCAGTTTAGCTGGGCTGGTGAGGAAAACTGCTGTCTTGTCTCAGTTATTTCAGGAAAGGTGGTGGTGCTGGTCTTCCTGAAAGTGCCATGTGGAGCAGAGTGAGGTGCTGTGCCAGGCAATGCCAGCCTGACTTCTGCAACTGAGCAGAATTTCTCTGGAGCACACCAGAACATGGACATGGGGCCAGTGGCGCTGTGTTTCTGAGTTCTTCTGTGCTATTTGGTTTACAGATCTACTGCAAGACAGAGAGAGCAATTCTGTGCTCCAAGGCTGCTCCTTTGCCAGAAAGAAGCTGCTGCCTAAGCCTTTGGCAAGAGACCCATGATGGTCTTCATCACCAAGGGTTAGAGCAGTGCTGGTGATTATCCAGGCTTCAAGATCTATGTACATGACCAAGTGGACTGGTGAAGAAACACAGAAAAAAACTATTAATTTCCCTGCTTTTCTATCAACTGTTCACTGCCTGAAAGAAAGGGGAGGTAAAAAGGCAGCAAACAGTGTCACCATGGAGTCCTTGCTGTGCTGTGTGGGTTCTGCACAGCAGTTCAAAGGCCCCTCTGATGAAGCAGGTGCCTTTCTCACTGTCTTCGGAACATTGGGCCACTGGGAGTTTGTGTGGGTGCCTGAGGCTTGTTGAATGACACAGATTTAACTCCCATTTCCTCTGCTTTACAGGTACAATGGCTTGGTGACTGGCTCTCGAGCCAAAGGGATCATTGCCATCTGCTGGGTGTTGTCTTTCATCATTGGCCTGACGCCGATGCTGGGGTGGCACAACCGTGCCCAGATTGAAGAGCTGGGTTCCAATAAGTCCTCTCTCATCAACTGCAGCAACAGTATGGTGGCATGTCTCTTTGAGGCTGTGGTCACCATGGAGTACATGGTCTACTACAACTTCTTTGCCTGTGTGCTCTTGCCCCTCCTCCTCATGTTTGGTATCTACTTGAAAATCTTCATGGCAGCCCGGCGACAGCTCAAGCAGATGGAGAACAAGATGGTACACGGGGAACGTTCTCGCTCCACTTTGCAGAAGGAAGTCCATGCAGCTAAGTCTTTAGCCATCATTGTTGGGTTGTTTGCAGTCTGCTGGCTTCCATTACATATTATTAACTGCTTTACCCTTTTTTGCCCAAGTTGTGCCCATGCTCCCCTCTGGCTGATGTATCTGGCTATTATCCTGTCTCATGCTAACTCAGTTGTAAACCCTCTAATTTATGCCTACCGAATCAGGGAGTTCCGATACACCTTCCGTAAAATCATCAGCCAGCACATCCTGGGCCGCAAGGAGCCGTTCAAGGCAGGAACAGCCAGCTCCAGGACTTCCACCCACGGTGGGGATGCAGAGAATGCCAGCATACGGATCAGCGAGTATGCGTTAGAGGTATACACCAACGGAGAAATCCACAGGGATCCTGAAAAGCAGGACTTAAAAAAATGCAAAGCTGGCTTGGAATGGCACAAGAATGGAAATGCTCTGGACCTGGAGACAAATGGGCATCTCCCACATTCCTGCAAAAATGGGATTCTCTCTGATGCATGCCTGAACAGGGAGCTTCACAGTGAAGAGCTAATTGATGCCCGGGTCTCTTACTCAGATCTGGAAAGAGCAGCCTTTGCTGCAGCTGATGTTTCCTGATGAGACTTTTGAAGTCTTCCTGGTAGAATTATTTTTTTTCCATTGGTGACCTCTGCCATGGCAGAAAGGGAGGTTGGGGGGCGGGGGGAGAGCTGTGTATTCAGATCGCTGTGGAGAAAGGGGTCCCTATCCAGGACTGTTGGGACGATCCTAAATACTGGACTGGAGAAAAGCCAAGAGAACACTGAAGTGGACTAAGGAAGGCAGGACACATTACCTGCCAATGACCTGTCACCAAGGGCAGTGCCAAGATCGAGGATGGCATTCCAAGTTCAGCACTGGGAGACCCTGCTGATGCAGGGATATCGTGACATTATGCTATACTGTGTGCCTGTGGTTGTATGTTGGTTTTGCTGTCTTTACCAACAGAAATAGAAGCATGGCTGGAAGTATTCCCTGAAAGGCAAAGAGCAACAGGGAAGGGGCCTTGTAGTACTTTGGCCCTGCAACAAGCAGAAGGGGGAGATAGCAACATCTGTGGGTCGGCAAGGATGCCAGGAGCTGCGTGAAGAGGGAAGGAATTTAACTGATGGGAACTTTGGATACCTTCAACCATGGCATTTTGTCTTTCAGTTCATGTTTTTAAAGCTTATACTGCAACAGGTTGCTCAAATGGGTATTTTTATCCATGTCTTGATAAGGTTACTTTATGTTAAGTTATAAAAGATGGGCAAGAACTCATATCCATTCCCTGAGCACTCTATGTGCCAGGTGCACTAGGCAAATATAACCTTAGCTCTCCACTTGGTCCAACAAATCATGAAAGCAGAGTCTGTAATACAGATTTCCCTTGGCCAAAGGGCTGTTAGCAGGACTTGGTGCTGCAGATAGCAGAACAGCAGGTCAGGCTGTGGGCTGTGTCACCAGGGCAGCTGTGCCCTGCGGTGCTGTGAAGAGCTGTCAGGTGTGTGAGCTGTCTGTAGGCTGGTGGCACTGGCTGCTTTTTCCCTGCTGTCTCTGTGCTTGTCCTCCTGAGCTCCTAGAATGCAAATTCTTTCCATGGCCCCAAATGTGTGTGAGGGGAGGTAATATTCCATATTTTGGTTGTTTTCATCCTCATTCAAAAGGCTGCGGGATTTTTTCATTCTTTCTCAGGATAGGAGGAATCCACACACATACCTAACACTTACTTTTGGAATTCCAGTGAGCTCTGTTTAAAGATCTTTTCTCCTGTGATTTCAGTTTTTTCCTGATGTGCTTTACTGTGAAGCCCAATGTGTCCCTGTGATGCTGAGGCCAACAGAACTAAGCCTATCTGGTTAGATGATGTTCCTATTCTGAGAAGCTGAAAGGTGTCAGTAGTATTGGAACTCAGATTAGAAACTGCATTTGTCTGTATCAGAGACCAGGCAAATCTGTGCTGCAGCAAGTGTACTCACTGATGTGATTTGTTGTAGAGGTGTTTCATAGCAGTTGGATAATTTTCCTTGCAGCTCAAGGACAGCAGAATGTCACTTCAGCTTGAAGTCTACCTGAAGATTGTCTGGTTTATGTTTTTCAGACAAATAATCCATGTCCAATACCACCAGCTTTGTGGAGAGGCAGGCAGTAGTGGTCCTACTGGAAAACTAAAAGTCTGGTAATTTCAGGGGTCTGAAGCTTATTCCCTAGCTGAAAACATCAGAAATGTCATCCCCCAAACCTCTCTCTCCTCCTTGTGTCTGTCCACTTACATTTCAGAAACCAGGGGAAACTGGATTTTTCATACTTGAGAGAGAGAGCAGGTTAGGTTTGTGTGTTCTTATTCCATGTTTATTTTAGATGTTGTGAACTATTAAAATGAAAAATCAGTTTTATTTGAGGAGAATTTTCTTTTTGCTGGTCTCCCTACATAAAGGTGGGGAGTAGTTTACAATGCTGAACGTGTTCAAGTATGTAGCTGCTCTGGGCTAGCACAAAGCTTACTGTGAGATGGATAAAAAGATGTGGCTGCCACCGCAATCCTTAGCAGAAAGACAGGCCAGCTTGTAAAACAATAGACTTCACAGTTTAATTGAATTGCTGCTTTCTTGGCACGTCCCTTGCACTGTAGTCTAACGTCAGAGGAGTGGATTATCACTCCAGCACCATTAATGAACACTAAGCCATTTCCCTGTGACTGACGTCATAGGTGGTAGTTCCTCCGTAGGGTGACTTGGGATCTGGTTACCCTTCATCTTTCTTGGTGGAATATTTCTGTAGGTTATTTGTGTGACGGCTCCTCTGACCTCCTGCAACAGTGGCAGAGGAACTCAGGAACGTGGGGGGCTGATCTCTTCAGGCCTCAGTTGGGAGCTGAAATGTTTCTAAGAATAACACAGGATTACATCCGGCATTCATGTCAATAACGATTAGGTCCACAAAGCAGCAGAGCAGGGAAGGAAGTGTGGGAAAATACCAGCATCGCTCATGTACTGGAACACACACGAGTGCAGAAGTGTCTCCTATTGAGCTTTAGCTGCCATTATAAAAGGCTGTTTTATACCACATTGCATTAGACTTTCAACAGCTGGTTGTGGCTCAGTTGCTTTCTATTGTTTCCTGAGCATCTTCACACTCAATTATGGCAGCGTCTTGTTTGGTTGCCACAAGAATCAAGTTGGTCTATGTTGATGAATAAACTTAGGATTGTCATTCTGGAAAACTTTCCTGCCCAACCAGATCACCATACAAGCTTGCTGAGTTTCCAGATGTCTTGAAATTAGCTTTTGTGTTGCTGCTTGACCTGTCCCCCAAGTGTGTCCAGTCCCTTTCAATAGTTATGATCCAGAATTGAAATGAAAAGTGTGTGTGAAGGGGCCAGGGGATGTGTGCAGGAGGAAGTGCAGGGGGGTACGGAGGCAGCGTGGTTTATATGGAAGTCTGTAGTCACAGGAAAGAAGGGATGGCAATTCACCACATGCTGTGTGCCTTCTGGCAAACATATGGCTGAGATGGACCTTAAGAAGATGTTTCTGAAGCAGTTTTTGAGGGGAGCATGAGCCTTTTGAACAGAATTTTGGACTTCTTATTTCTTGTTTCCTAAGGATTATTTTAAGGCTTCCCACTTTTAGGTCGGATTTTTTGAAAAAAAAACAAACAGGGAAAGGAAGCTGTAGGAACTCATCAATGAAGTGTGCTCTTTGCTTCTAGAAGCTCTCCACTCTTGAGAGAAGCACCTGCCTTCCAAACTGCATAGGACCACTCATTCCATAGGACGCTTCTTTTCTTCCAGTTGGAGAATGTTTAGCTGATGCAGCTGTTCTGATAAACAAAGATGGTACCAAGACAAAGGGAAGAATGGGGTACCTAAGAGGAGAGGCTGGAGAAGACCTCCTTGGGAATCCAAGGTGTAGTGGGTCCAAAGAGTAAGAGCTGGGGTAAGAAGAGACTGATTAATTGAATTGCAGCTTCTTACTAAAAACATCTGAAGAGACATAGAGAGATGTAGTTTGGCATGAGGGCATTCCATGAATTTCATCATTCCCTGAAGACTCTTAGACTCCAGGGTTTATTTTCTTTATAGGAGTTTGGAGAAAGTGAAGTTTGATTAGTTGCCAGGAGTAATTTTATCAAGAGTTCTTGGGGCCCTTTCCTCAATAGGGCACTGCTTTTTGTGTGTGCAAATAAATGCACTTAGGTCTGTGTCCTGCAGAGTTGCTTTTGGATCAGTGATTTTTCAGAGCTCTGTGCAAGCTCAAACTGCAGTTCTTGAACCAGAAGCATTTTGGCATGGTAGGACAGCTGGGGTTACTGTAGACAGAAATTTTTGCCCACTGATCCCAGTTGTGCAGGTGGACTTGGAGTGACATGGAATAGTCTCAACCTTTGATCATTCTTTGAAAAGAGGCTCCAGGGGGTGCTGGTGGATGTAGAGAAGTCTCTCAGGTGTGAGAGACTGGAGGGTCAGTATGGATGGGAAATCTTGGTGGTGAAGGAGTATTCATAGGGTAGGTGTTTGAGAGGATTTCAGGGGAGCAGGAACGTGCTGGAAGGTGCTGGGGAGTGCACAGATGGTGCTGGCTTGAGCCCAAAGTGTGACCTGCTGAGGAAGGACTCTGGAAGGGATGTATAGCCTTACAGCTCTCCTGGGGTCACTGCAGATCATCAGTCTTGCCTGGCGTGTGCAGAGGGTTGGTCTATATTGACTGAAGCAGAGATGGTTCTTATGGATTATGTTCTTTCCAGATACATTGTCCCATTTCATGAGCATGTCCAGGTGTAACAAAACCCCTTCTGCTTTGTGAGCATGAGCCCTACCTAAAACCAAATCCATCCCACCATGCGGAAGGATGAGCATGCTGCAATGGTGCTGCACTGCATTAACACTGCATAGAAAGAATACTCTCTAGTGGTGTTTGCCAATTTCAGCTGCCTAAAGGTCAGTTCTCTCCCAGTTTGTTTTGGGCATCAAGCTGCACTGAGTCATATCAGAGTTTTTCCTTTCTAGACCTGTGCTTTTGGCCTTCTTTACGGTAAAACACATCAAGAGTAACTAAAATCACACCAGTTCCTCATTTGCATGAGAGGTGACTAACCCTGACAGACTGCGAATCCCAAAACTGGGGCAATGTTGTGTGTAACTCCCCATCTCGCTTGCCTGCCGGGACTGTTCACACAAGGATGTGTTAAAATCAAGACTGGAACCTGTTGATCTGAGAACATCCTTTGCTTCCCCCACTGTCTCAGGAGCTGGTGTTCCTGCCCCATCCTGTGGAGCAGTTGTCTCCGTGGTCTGCAAATCAAGACACTATGAACACCCTGCTGCACATGCTGTCACTATGAAACAATTACTCTTTTAATTTAAATGTTTTATGATATAGGTGTTGTTTTCCCTCTGTTTGTCAGTTACCAGTGGGAGGGGAGGGAAGGGGGTGGGAGAATTTGTGCATGCAAATGTATTTAAAGTGCATTGACCAAAGGTTTTTTTTGAATCTGTGAAGTTTTCCTATCTGTGAAGTCATCAGACTGCTGGGCAGTGAGGAGCCGCTGGTGCTGCGGAGTCTGTCTTGGTTACATTTCTTAACAAGTATTAAAATAAT